TAAATTATAATAGAATTGTATTACCATGGTAATATCTTAAAAATCGTTTTTAATACCTTCAGTAAGTATGCGCTAGTTTGATATGTGACGTCACTTACCAACGGAGAAAAACGCGGTCGGTTTGTTTCTGTCAGGATTTTGTGCTTATTAGTTACTTTTAGTTATATTTTATCATAATTCAAACTGGAGTCCAGATGTCTCCTCTGTAAAAAAATAATAAAAAACTCTACCAAAGTATAAGTGTGTCATGTTGCCATAAACAACATAAAAACGCAGATTTATGAAATGAGTAACAGGTGTGTGTCAGTGTGTGTCACATGACCAAAGCCGTCCAATGGTTTTCACGGACACTTTCATTACTGTCCAGCAGAGGGCGCTGTTGATATTACAGATTTACTCAACTACTCACACAAAATCTTTACTTGTCACACTGTCTACACTAAAACTACTCAGCCTTTGACTCAGTTTTCAATTTCATAAAACACTTTTTGCGAAACACAACACACAATTCTCTATGCAACACACACAAATCTAACAGGAATTAATCTTGTGGCAAAGGTGTTTGCAAATGTTTGCTTTTGCTTCATTTTGCAAGAGATGTGAGGCATTTTGTATTTGAAAATGTGTGTAAGCAGCTGAAAAAAACTGTAAAACAGATGCTGTGTTGATATAAGTGATCAATATTTATTAATATGATTAACAGATGTCAGACCCTCTAAATGCACAATATTTCACACCAGTGCCAATTTCACAGAAGGCTGCAATCGAAAAATAATTTCCTGTCAAGTTGTTGTTTTTGCATGGTTTAATTATTGTAACGAATGTGTTTAATGCATCATTCTGATTTTTATTCTTGATGTCCATCAGATGTTTTCCGCTCATGGGATTGTATACTAGCTGTACATTAATTTAAATTTGATCAATGCTTATCAATATGTGGTGCAACCACTCTGTTTTATGTCATTTTATGAACAGAGAAGTATGCCAATGACTAGACTTGTTGATAATAAAAACCTCAAACATCGCAATTCTCACGTGTTTTTTTTTTATTTTATTTTTTTTAAAGACGCTACATTTGTAACATTAACAACAAAACTTACTAATGTTGTGAGTTTGTGGCTAGTTGTCACTTTTACTGCCAGTTTTTTTTCCCAGCCTCTCATTGGTCCTCTCGTCTGTCAATCAAAGAGTGGGCGTGTCGGAGCGGGAGCACAACAGGAGCAAACACATCAGATACCTTCGCTTACGGTACGTCAGCGTTTTATAATTAATATAACACGATTTGCGCTCATCTGAGTCTGTTTTAGCCTCGTCCGTGTGAAATACGTATGCAACGTGTAATATGTATGATATGTAATATTTTGGGTTTATTTGTCGGTCTTGTAATTTATTTATTTTTGTGGCTTTTTTGTGTTCTAATGTTATGCATTTAAAGGCAGCTCTGGCAGAACGAGAGAACTGTTTGATATTAATAATATTAGAGCATTCTTATAATAAGAGTATAGGTTTAAACAGGCCTGTTGGGCTAATATTATAATGCAGGTAATATATGATAATATAATGCTAGAGATGGAGGCATAGAGGAAAAGAGAGATGCTGATAGTTATAGAGCCACAAACGTGTGGAAACACCACCCTCATCTTCATCATCCTCCTCTTCCTCCTCCTCTGTGTGTCTGTGTTTGTTTTGAAGGCTGTTCCACAGATTATTGTCTTTATATGTGAGGCTAGAAAACTAAATAATCAGTGTGTTATCGTCCAAAACCAGCTCTGTTGTGCTTAAATTCAACACTGATTAGACAGATAGCACAGAGAAACAGCTGAAGAATAGAGTAGAATAGAATAGAGGAACATGTTGTGTACAGCTATGAAAAACAGTTGCTTA